TCCTCACAGGGCCCCCAGCTAACCCTTGAGATGTCTTGACCAACCTCACCAGTATAGAAAGAGGTTAATTTTTATTAAATACTCAGTCTTAAACACCCAGCAGGAGAATAAAAACAGAGAGTGTTAATGACATAAAAAAAGAGAGCACTAACTGGATCTAGAAAGGGGCTCTAAACAGTGACAGCTGTTTTAAGATCTACTAAAAAAGGCACCAATCATAGGAATGTTAAGAAAAAAGGGCGAAGACCTCCAGTAATTTCCCACCACACTTGTGCACCTCAACCTCTAAAGACTGCAGTCAACTTCCAAGGAGTAACTCAGACACCACTGGTTCAGGCTTCCCTGTGCCTTCAGTGGCTGCCAAACACTCTGAATCTGATGTGTCTGAAAAAATGAAACAATGGGAGAGGGAGGCAAAGGGAGAGGGAGAGGGAGAAGGAGAGAGAGAGGAAGAGAAAGAAGGAAAGAAGGAGAGAGAAAGAACTCTGTCCATTTCTCCTTAAGATTAAGGAGAATAAAGTCAGAGGGAACATGACACAATTAGAGACCACCATAGGGACAACAGACAAACAAAATCCTTGGTCTTCAACCCATTACTCATGAAAAGCATGATTTGTCTTTTCTTATGAGGCAGCCAGAGATTTGGAAGTGATTTCTCTTAAAAACTACAACTCTTCACTTGGACTTACAGATACCCAATGAGTGACTACTGGCAGGATAAAGTTTGCCTCTCATGTTGTGAAATTCTGAGTCAGATCCTTCTCAGTTCTGCATATAGGCATGGCAGTCCCTTAGATTAACGTTTGTCCAAAAGTTGATCAGCAAGGTTTATTAGCACTGGTTTACCTGGCCTATCTCATCCCCCTTCACCACCAAGATAAGAGATTTATAAGGCTGTTCAGCCACACCTAGAAGTCCCCATGACCTCAAACTGATGGTCACCTTAGATTGTAGCAGAGCCTCAAACAGAGTCATCACACAGGAACCAAACTGCCCCCAGGGCACAAAGATTCCTCCAGAGCTGCAAAGCCAGGACTGAGATAATGATCACCAGACCCAGGCCATCACAGCGCCCTAGAAACCTGCTGTCTGTTTTTTTGAGAGCAGGCCAGTTTGATCCCCCTCCTTAGAGCTTTGCCTCCTTTAGTTCTTCAAGATGAAGCCCTTTCTTATCTTCTCTTACTTCTTTTGCTAGGAGACCAGCTTGATCTTTATCAGGGCTTTGTGTCCCCTTCTCATCTTCTCCTACTTTGCAATGAAAGATTTTTGTGAATGTGTTAAATCCATGCTGAATCTTCAGTTTCAATTTCCATTAGCACTGAAGCAAGAACCCACATGAGTTGGTGACAAAGGCAGAGCCACATAATTACATATATGTACATTCTATACAACTGTAATGCTAATTATTATTGGCTTTTTTACCTTAATTGTATTTCTGCTCCCCAAATATAGACAGGGCTTCTAAAATTCAAAGCTTAGGAGAACACTATACCAAGCTGATGTCTTCCAAATTAAAATTGTTTTTAGCCATAACCTTTTCCAGGCTTCTCGGCTGAGGACTCTACCCCCCTGTTAACAGTGAAAGTGTGCAAGGGGGAAAAGTCTGTAAGAGTAGAAGAGAGGTGTTCAGAACAGACTTTTTAAAAACACCAAATAGGAAGGACCTAACAAACTCTCCCATCGTAAGGGATCAGATGGGAAATCAGAGTTCAGTCATACTAGAGGATGCTGTATCAGCCCTTAAACACTGAGAGAAGATTGCCTGAAACTAATATCCTGGAGTCCAGTAAGTGAAGTTCAAAACACATGGATCCATGAAGCTAAGTGTGAGCAGGGATTGTGTGTGTGCTGCTGCAGGCATATGCAAATTTTAAGTTTTAGCTGGTCACCAACATTTAAAATGTAATTTAACACCACTCCTAGGCTACATACTCAGCACTTTGGGATCTGGCAGCTGGACTCACAGTCTGCCTGCCCAAGGAGCATCTCCAGATCTGAGAATCTGGCACAGACTTTCTGTCCATTTGCTTTCCCAGGGCCTCTAGGGCCTCTGGATTCCCATGGTCTGGTTTCCTCTGTCTCATGGTGCTGAAGCTCACAGCATCCCAGTAGAGGGCAGCAGCTTTCTTGGTGGATCAGATTTCTGTTTCTAGGGTGTTTCCTCCTTCTGACTAGAAAATAGGACGTATCATAATTTAAATCTGCATAAAAACCTCACCTTTAAAACATTTGCTTTCTCTGAGCCTTTACATATCCTGTTATTTCAGTGGTGTTTCAGTAAAGTCCTGTGTCTTGGAAATACATATTCT